CTTTCCAAAAACATATTTGCAATCACTGGTAAAATCTAACAAAAACAGCATAAATTGTTTTTAACGTTTGGCTGAAATGATGCACATGTGATTTGAAATGATGTGATTTTTCAGGTTTTTCTGGCTACTACGTGGATCTCAATGAGGGGAAGCTTATCCTGCATTTGGCTTTATATTCAAGCTGATTGGCTCTTTCTACTGAAGGGCGAAACTTTCTCCTTAAACAGACTTGAACGTTTTAAGAGTTCCCATTAATTTGTCCACTAGTGTCATCTCCTCCTTTATAATGTTTCTGATATTAATGGAGAAGCGGTTTAGCCACCTTAGCATGCCAAGTAAGCCTAGTTAAGAAAATAAGTTGTTGGCTCAGCAGTTTAAACAAAACTGGATTCTTACTTCATCTGTCAGTTCAACAGCTCTACAGGTTTTAGTGAAAACTCAATTGAGAGGTGATCAGAGGTGTGTCTGCACCAATCAGCCGTAACATTAAAACCACCTCCTTGTTTCTACACTCATCGTCCATTTTAGCAGCTCCACTGACCACATAGGAGCACTTTGTAGTTCTACAGTTACAGACTGTAGTCCATCTGTTTCTCTGTATACTTTGTTACCATGTTCTTCAGTGGTCAGGACCCCCATGGACCCCCACAGAGCAAGTACTATTTGGGTGGTGGATCATTCTCAGCACTGCAGTAACACTGACGTGGTGGTGGTGTGTTAGTGTGTGTTGCGCTGGTCTGAGTGGATCAGACACAGCAGTGCTGCTGGAGTTTTTAAACACTGTGTCCACTCTATTAGACACTCCTATCTTGTCGGTCCACCTTGTAGATGTAAAGTCAGAGACGATAGCTCATCTGCTGCTGCACAGTTTGTGTTGGTCATCCTCTAGTCCTTCATCAGTGGTCACAGGACGCTGTTGGCTGGATGTTTTTGGTTCTCAGTCCAGCAGCAACACTGAGGTGTTTAAAAACTCCAGCAGCTGTTTACAACAGCTTCAAATGTGGCTCAGCCAGCGGAGGTCCTGTGATGGCCCCTCTGTTGATGAAAGGGGGGAAGGGGGGCTGATAAATTGTGCAACAACAGATGGACTTAAGTAAACCTACCAAGTGAACCTACCTGATAGATACGCATGATAGTCATTATATTCCTGTGTCAGGCAGCTGCTAAAAGAAGCTCTTCAGCCATTTCTCAATCTCACCTCTCATCACTCCATCCCGGCTGGGCTCCCGGAGGGATACAGTGATATATAACAGGACACCCTCAGATCCCCCGCCTATTAAAATCCAGCCTAACCTCCTTACTGTAACTGTCCCTCCCCCAGCTCTCACTCTCTTCCCTCACACTCTCTCACTGTTAAAGAGATAGTTCAACCAAAATCCCCCCTCATTTCTAATGTAAGCCAAGACATGTTTGCTTATTTAGTCAGTTGCACTGATGCTATGTAGCTAATGTAGATAACAAGTTATTTGTCTGGAAGCTTATTTTTCTGATTCAATCACAAGAACTTTTCCTTCACATATTAAGGAAGATCTTTTGCTATGTCTGAATTAAAAGACAGTTCTGGAAAAAAAGTGAAATGTTCAAAATAAATTGGCTTTGATTCACATAATGTTCCCGTTAGTTACTGGTGTAACAGCGCTGTGGATAACACATCGCCCCACACAGGGCAGGCCGGAGTTTTTTCTCCGCTCAGACATGAACGCGAATAAAAGCAGGGATGACTCCACACCTCCAAAAGTGGAACTGCAGCTGAGTGACTGACAAAAGACAACTAGGCCACTCACCATTTAATATATCAAGGCTGTGAAAAAGTATTTGCCCCTCCCCAATTTCTTCTATTTTTGCATATTTTTCACACTTGAATGTTTTAGATCATCAAAATGCTTTTATATTAGACAAACATAACCCAACTAACCACACTTAAAAACTGACTCTGTTTTTAGATGATGATTTTGTTGTGGAACGGAAGTGTCATTCATTACTGTTTTAGCTAAGTCACATGAGTGTCCTTACTAAGGGCTTTTTTTTCCAGATTCAGGACTGGTTACCAAAAGGGTTCTACTACAGTTACAGTGTCAAGCTTGTATCCATAGAAGTACTCTTTAGGGTGCTATATAGAACCTTCTGTAGCACATTTATGCACATTTTCCATCAATCTGAAGAACTATTTCATGATGCAAAAAACCCTTTGATCATGCAAAGTGTTCTTTGAGTGTTCATGGTTCTATATAGAGCTATTTTCTTTACTAAAGAACCCCTGAAGAACCATCTTTTTAAAGAGTGTATAGGTTTGGCTATAAAACTAAAGAAGCAAAATTCAGACACCAAACACGTCCTGTCTGAAACCGTTAATTAGATTTTTTGCCAAATTATCGCTTTAACTATTTCATTTCTAGTCATATAAAAAGAATTTGCCCAACTGTGTACATACTTCTCCTTCACCTGCTGTACTGAGACACATATGGGGTGATTCTCCTTCAATATGTGTCCATAAGTCTCTGCTTTTATACTTTGACCCTTGTGTGGTGTTGATGTGTTTTTTACTCACTGGTCTGCTGGACCCACCACATTATTGTTTCTTAAATACAGCCATATTTATGTAAAAATACCAGATGTTTAAAATATCACAAGTGT